TCATTATAATTATTGTGTTTGCTGAACATCTACAACCAAATCACTTTTGGAGTCAACCAACTTCAACATGGCCACCACAGTCAAATGACCTCAGCAAACACAAAAAATWGCTCCAAGTTATAAAATCTTATAGACATTGAGCTAAAATCTGGAGTGTAGATGAGAGTTTTTTACAACAATGGGCTAACAGAGTGTGTGAAAAGTYGTAATAAAACATGAGACTATCATATTATTTAGGTTTTATTAAACTGACTGTAACTCTGACATTTCTCATCATCCAATGACCAGAGCCTAAAACTGTCATGGAAGGGGATTGGCAGTMTTAAGKAATGCTAGGCCTTTAATTTRTAAACATTTCCTAATGAATCAATMATATTAGATATTAGACACCTGGCAGAGCTGAGGCCTGGGATATTTTTAACAGTCACTGGTAATGGGTAAATCATGAAAACAAAAACTTGTCTTTTCCACCTTTAAGCTGGCGTTCTGTTCTATTCAGGACCATAAGAGATATTTGTGCAGCTAACTCCCATGATACACTGGGCCATCTGTTACTTCAGCAGGGTGTCTGCTGATAGGCTGAGAGCCAGATGGACTCCCACAGCTCCCAGACCTGGACGGAGGCAGCATTCAGCGTTTCCCAACCTGTCATTACACTGTGAAAACTCAGCTTAATGCTGGACTAAAAGGTGGTGACTACGAATAAAAAATCATTACTTCAAATTATTATGATAGAATAAAAGGATAGAAACAGTCTTTATTGTCCCGCATGGGGAAATTCAGGTGTAACCAGCAGATATACATTTGTAGGAGACAGCCAGCGTCTCTTACACACCTTCTCAAATTCATGAGGAAAATACGGTTTCTTTTTCTTGAAAGATAAATACCTCTCTGTGATGGAAGTGAGAAAACACACTCAATAATTTGTAGTTCCAATTCTAAAATAAAGGATATTTATTTACTAGGGCTGCAACAATACATGTACCTGTATCGAACAGTACTTTAGGTTCAGTACACACTTGTATGGAACCAAACAGATTTTAAAATTTATTTTATCAACTTGTCTTCTGAAGATGCTCTGTGTTGAAGGATCAGTGGATCTGTGTTCGACTACTCYGCCTAGGCTGCATTTTTGAGCACAGATCCACTGAGAAACTTGTTGTTTCAGCAACATTTAATTTAAAAACTGTACTTTTGAGGTTAAACAAATGTTCATAATTAATTTAAATAAATTACAAGTTAAAAGGGGCATGGACATTTCTCTTTTTTGTATCGAAAAAATACCAAACCGTAAGACTAAAGTGTCGAACAGAATTGTGAATTTTCTGTATCGTTGCAGCCCTAATATTGACAGAATAAAATGAACTAACTATGTACAAATTAAGGTTAATGATCTGAACTTTATGAGATAAAATACTGACAATAAACGCCTCGCGTCCGACATGATTTACTGTAAATACAAGATTCAGAAAGAACAAAACAGTAATAGGCTTTAGATCTTATTAAACAGTTTACAGGTACGTTAACTTTGTGACAAGGTTTTTAGATTTAGAAAAGTAAAGAAAAAAGAGGATTAGTAAAGATTTAATTGTTATCGATTATCTTATCAAAAGGTGAGGACCAGAACAGTCCCAGGTGGTCTGCGTCTTCCCGTCAGCTGCATCTCATAAGAACCCCTACACATTAATCCAGAGAAACACTTTATTGCTATGTGGTATTATCAACTGTAGCAACAATAAAGATAGTAACAACAAAAAATAAACATAGATCAAAATAAAAATAATAATTACTGTACTGGTTTTTCAACTTGAAATGAGATAAAAATGAAAATAAAAGCAAGTTGATTGAGTACATGTTGAGGATGAGTCCCAGCTAAATGCTAGCTCATCATCTGTAAATCTAACTGAGTGTGAATCATTTTTGTGTAC